CGCGGCGGGCGAAGGGGGCAGCGCGGCCGGGGCAGGGTGGGAGCACCGCGCCGGCCGGGCGGCGGTGGCGGCGGGCGGGCGGGCGGGCAGCGGCGGCGTTGTTCAGCACGAAGGCCAGCGCCCGCCGCCATCTTTCGCCGCCCGGGCGGCCTCCAGCCAGGGCTGCAGCCCGCGGACGGGGCCGGGGGGCAGCCCTGGGTGTCCCGCCGGACGGCGCGCTCTCTGCAGGGCCGGCGCCTCGCTCCCCGCAGCGGCACCCCCGGGCCCAGGCATCCCCCTGGGACGGGGACGGGGTCCGTCCCTTTCCCGCAGAGCGGGGCCGGCCGGCGGTGTCTCGCCTTCCCCTGGTGCAAAGCTTTGCGGGCTGGTAGCGTGAAGAGGAATCCTGGGGTCTGTGGGCTTCGAAAGGACGTGCGATGCCCTAAAGTGTCAAGAAACAGAGTGGTCGTGGGTTCCGGGATGTCTTTTTGAATTTACAAATGGTGGAGTGTTAAAACTCCAATTTTGTGGCTAGGATGCATCGAAACGCGTTTGTTCAATGGATTTGAAAATAACGGAGTGAGAAAATTGCATGTCCTGTGACCTGTGTGTCAGTGATACTCTGCTACAGGCTGCTGTGAAATTCTGCAAACTTAATGCATTTATGCTGGGTAATTTACCCAGGCCCCTGATAAAGTTAATGGAGCTGTGATTTGCAGCTTGCAGCACACTTTCTCTCTCCATTGGCATTATCAGAAATATAGGGAAGCAAATCAGGGCTCCCAAGTGCCCAAAGTTGTGTAGGTCAAACGTTTGTGTACTGATGCTCTAACTAACTGCAGTGTTCATTCCCTACTCAATGAAGCACTTTTCCTATTCAGTGAAGCACTTTCAGAGGACTTTCTAGTTTCACAGTTAGCGCTTCATTTTTCAGCTGGCTAAGTAAAAGAACATCCTATTAAAAATATCTGTGCTTATGCAATAGACACCAACGTCTACAAGCAAAGACAGAATAGGTCTGTTCACAAACGTTCTCACTTCCTCTTTGGTATATTATTATGCAGCAGAAAGGGAATTGCTTGGAATCATAACTCTCATTGTCCAGCTCTTTTGGGTCTGCCTTCACAAGTGATTGCAGGCCGTAACTGCAGGCGATTCCCTGTCTTGATACTCTCTTACCTTTTACTGCAGTGTGTGTTTTATTTACTTAGTGGAAGATGTATTATAAGGTCCTTTCCTTATTATAAGGTATCCACTCCTACAGCACTGCGTCTGGTGCCCTGCCTGCATTTGTACTTCATGCTGTCATTTGTGGCTAAGGAATCACATTTAGTTCCCTAACGCATTTCCTGAGGGGACAAAGAGTGCACAAAGAGATAGCTGAGTGGAGATCCCGAATTGTTAGTTGATTGCACTTGTCCATGGTCCTGCTGCCTTACATTAACTTTTAGCCTCTGGCACTCTTCTCCCTCCTTGATGAAGGTAGGAAAGTTTTGTTTTCAGTTATTTGTGTTGCTTTGGTACCTGGATCCAGGACCATCTGAGCAATGGATTGGGTATCTGACGAAGTCGTCCCTCATCTGAACAGCACAGTTATCAGCAAAGTAAATGCTATTGGAACACTTTCTCTTTAGTATTACTGCTTTTTATTCCTTGTATTTTATTAAGTAATGATTTATTCTGATTATACAGGTTACCCTTTCCCTACTGCTCCTCCCGTGGATCCATTCGCAAAAATCAGAGTGGACGACTGTGGAAAAACCAAGGGATGCTTCAGGTCAGTCTGAGATAAGAGTGCAGATAACTTTATGTTTAAAAATGCTGACTGATGATATTGAAGACTTTGGTTAATGTTCCGTAGTCATTTTAATAAATGTTTATTATTTAAGAACATACTTTGTAGTATGAACTATATTGTTTGAGGACACTAGGATATATGTCTTGGTTGTGGACCTACAGTTCTTTCACAATTCATATTTTCATGAAGCAGTTACAAAACCAGAGTAAGTAAGGTCGACAGAGTAATACTGTGTGTAACTGTTTGCCATCCTGTTTAAATACTATACATTCTTATACTAAAAGAGCAATAATTGCAAACTCTTAATTAATGGTACCCTATGTATAGCAGATTATATAACATGTTTTACCGCCATTATACCAGAATGCATTCTTTTGTTTTTTTCTTGCAGAAATATAATTAAGTTCCATAGCAGCAAATTTCAAGGAAAAATTATGTATATTTTCATTTGCATTTAGGTATGGTAAACCTGGATGCAATGCGGAGACTTGTGACTACTTTCTAAGTTACCGTAGAATAGGAGCTGACGTTGAATTTGAGTTGAGTGCCGATACTGATGGCTGGGTGGCAGTGGGATTTTCCTCAGACAAGAAAATGGTAAGACATGTGCAGTTCTTCATGTTGACAATGTGCACACTTTTACATGCTGGAAGTGTATTTATATGTATTTATATGTTTAGTCGGTCAGAAACAGAGCATATAAGGAAAAACTGACTTGCTGAAAACAAGCAGCCCCTCGGGAGCAGAAGCCAGGCCTACTGCCTCACAGAAAACTGCTTCGTCTTTCTTAACATCTCCTTTCCCTTCTTTTCTGAGAACTACAACAGTATTTCAGTTCAGCTCTGAATGGCTGCATGTTATTAACTTTTTGTCTTTTTGTTAGAAAAGCCTTCAGGGATAAGCCAATTCAAATGGAAATGTCCTGCCGAGCTTTATGTCAGTGTAACTTGGACAAAAGACACATCATAAACTAAACAGGAAATAATTTTATTCTTCTGTAAATCAGCTGACTTTGAGCAATGTCAATACATCTTTCACTGTTTAACTTTGGAAATTTTTTTGTTTCTTTCATTCCTATGTGTTGTTTCAAGGAAGCTACAAATGTGTGACAAGATGACTCCTGCTAATTTAAACATATATACTCTAGAAAACAATCTTGTTAGAATTTATTCTCTCCTGGATTTTATTAGGTTTGATTTTATGATTATTTCTGTACTTACTTTTTAATTCTAAAGCTTCACTTTTTGTTGAGTTTCAATTAGCAAAATAGAAAAATGTACTGTGTGAACTTTAAAAAACCTGAGCAATGGGCAACTTATGCAAAGATGTTTTGTCTGTGATCCTTGGTAAAATGTTTAGGATTAAAATGCAGTTCATAATGCAGGTGTTCATGTACAGAAACATTTATGGGTATATAGAACAATACTGACCCCATGTCCTAAACCACAACTTAAAGGGAAGGACTGTTTCTTGTAATGTTGAAAATAGTAGTCTGAAAAAATACAGGATTTAGATGTCCTGGGCTAGGACCCACAAATGTGAATGGGAAGACTTGCACTGACTTAACAGCATTTTTTTATCAGACTTGACATGAGAAATACAAAGAAAATGTGAGGGCAGGGGCTTTTCACTCATTACTATATGTGTTTTAATATGATGCTGTAAATAAACACAATGTAGAAGTTTTTTATGTCATAAGGAACAGTTCACGTCACAAGAAAGAGTTTGTGGTTTTGATGTTGTAAAGAAGAGTTTTACAGCCAAATTTTGGGAAGAGTTTAGATGGATGGCAATGCAAGCTCTCAACAGGGTTTCCAAAACAGCTCAGCACCTTTAAGTATTTGTCCCCAAGCTATCAGAGATTGTGTTACCAGTTCGTAACTCTGATGTACCTGCAGTAGATCCCAGGGTCCCACTGCCTTCATGTCATCAGACACTTGGAAAACATGTGTTACCTTTTGTCCCAGACATACCAAGCAGCATGTTAAGTCAGCTTCTGGTAAGAAGAATTAAGTATATATAAAAGAAAAATTTTTGCTTCCAAATTTGCTGTGTACAAATCATCTAATGCCCATCAGTCAGCTGGACTAAACCAGCTAGCATCTCTCTTTCTCTCTTGTTCCCCTGCTGACTTAATCCTTTTTCATAACTTCCAGGGTATTTTGGTGTCCTGGGATGCCCAGGCTTTGATGGTAAAATGGCTCTGAGTCAAAACAGCTTTGCTGTGAGAAATGAGCTGTGCTTTGGAGGCCCTAATCAAAATGGTGTGGCCTGGATAGCTACAGAAGTTTAGTGGAAAAAAACCCTATTTTGTGTCCTCAATAGATTTTTTTAAAGTCCTGCGATCTATTTCTTTGTCTCAAATAACGTTATGCTTTTCGACTTGCAGGCTTTTATGCCTTGGAAGGATTCTGTAATGTCATTGTGTTAACTGAGATTCAGAGTGCTTTTTTCTTTCCTTTTTAGTTTTTTTCTTCTGTGTGAAAACAGATTTATTTTTCTTCTTTGTACTTAAGAATGAAGAATTTTTGCTCAGATGTATGGAAATTAAACTTGGAAAGTAAGTTATGGAAAGCAATGATAGTCTCAAAACAGAGGCCGAAAAGGTTGCCTGCAGGAGCAGCAAGGTGCGGAAAATGTTCAAGCGTGTGTTTTACCTAGTTGTCCCCTTTTTCCCTTCAATTTTGGCACATCTTTTACAATGAACATAGCAATATTCCCAGAGCACTGAAATGCACTCTTTTTCTCTCCTTCCCCTATAACAAAGAGCTGAGGAATGATCACAGTAGCAAGCACCATATCTATCATCGGTATGGCATATCAGAAAGATGAGTATGGGAGGAGTAGGGCTTATATTTAGTATGGCATTGATGGTTATACAGTGGTGTTCAGTAAAATGCCACTCATCCAGCTTGGACAGTGTTTTTGATGGTTCTTGATGCTGAGGCTTCTATGAGATAGTACTCCTGAAGTTAATGCTCATCCCTGAGTGATATGGTGCTCTACCACTTTGTCAGTGACCTTGAGTAACTGTTCTGGCAACTACTTTAGTATGTTTGTGAATAACCTCTACAAATAATTGTCTCACACTTCCTTCTGTCTGTTGGTTCTTTGCTTGAGAAGAACCAACTTTGGTGGCTGTTTAAGCTAAGTGAAGAAGCACATATTGATTACTTTTTTTCTTGTATCTTATGGTATACTGTATTCTGTTATTACATGCTGAATGTTTTTAATTTTCTTTTAAGAGATAAAAAAGATACGAGAAGTGATGTTCCCTTAAGTGAACATGAGAAGAGATTAGAAAAGACTTACTGTAATTTATGCTATTATTTTCCCATAATTAGTAGATTCATCTCCTATATCCTACTAAATCATATTGGTTTCCTATCCACGATTTGATGCAGTGGATTTTGTACACAGCAGGGATTCAAGACTGCCAGTTTTTATGAAGCAGAATCCCAGAACTTCACAAATAACCAAAGAAAACAGCCTTCCACAGATCAATTAATTATGTGATGTCAGGGTGATATCATGTCTTACAAATACATTAAATATGTAAGGTAAAATAACTCTTAGAAAGATCCGAAAGAGAGAGTAAGGGTAGGTAAATATTACTATCCATTTATATGCTTTTCAATTGGATTCAAGACACCTTGTTAGGGAAACAAATATTTGTGTATATATAATTTAGAAAGAAGAAAGGAGAGTCCTAGGTATTGATTAGTTTTGAATAATTAAAATTATATACATAAATGAGGAAATGCTTTATGACACTTCTGGTTTCCATCTTCCCATTTGTTTGTACCTTGTAGGGAGGAGATGATGTCATGGCTTGTGTTCATGATGATAATGGAAGAGTCCGAATACAGCACTTCTATAATGTTGGTCAGTGGGCTAAAGAAATCCAGAGAAATCCTGCTAGAGATGAGGAAGGGGTTTTTGAAAACAATCGTGTAACATGTCGATTCAAGCGTCCTGTATATGTTCCCCGAGAGGAAACCATCGTAGATCTGCACTTGAGTTGGTACTATCTGTTTGCTTGGGGTCCAGCAATCCAAGGTAAGTTGATTTCTGTGTTACAAACAGAACTGATGTGCCAAAATTGATAAATGTTTTTCAATTACATTATTCTTACTAGACCCCCTCCCCCTTTTTTCTTTTTCTTTTTTTCAAATGAACTAAAATTCTGGCAGCATAAAGCTTAAAAATAGATAAAAAGGAAGACAAAAGTCCAACACATGTCGTGTTTTCTTGGCTATATAGTTATTATCCTTCCTCCCCAAAGCTAAATATAAAAGAACTTCATAACTAGAAGTTCTCAATTCCTTTGAAGGATGTGTGTTGTTTACTTGCATTTCATTTGTTTTATTCAGAATTTTAATTTCATAAAGCACAGAAATGGTACTACTCCCTGAAGTGTAATATTGCATGCTCCTGTAGTTTTGAAAATTACCTGGCTGTCTACCTGTATCTTTAGTAGAGTTATAGAAAAAAATGCATCTGACATTATTTCTTTCTGCCCTTACCTCTTAAAGGTTCTATAACTCGTCATGATATAGACTCACCACCCGTATCAGAACGTGTTGTCAGTATTTACAAGTATGAAGATATTTTCATGCCATCAGCTGCCTATCAGACCTTCTCTTCTCCATTCTGCTTGCTCCTCATTGTTGCACTGACCTTCTATTTATTGATGGGAACCCCATGACCAACGGAAAATAGCAAGAATTTGTTGGTGGAAGTTTCTCAGGATGGACGGCTATATGGATGGATGATGCGTTTTTCTGTTGGAATTTATATCCCACCACCATCCTCATCTAGCTGCTTTTGAACATAGTTAGCTTCTCAGAAGAATGAAATAACCATCTCTTTTGAGTGGCAAAGTGGTGACAAATCATTTAAGAATAATCAGCAAACACATAGGAGAATATTTTCAGTGTTGTGATTACTTGCTTGAAGAAAATGACACTTTTGTAAAATCAATGTGTGTGTGTGTGTGTGTGTGTGTGTTTGGGAGGGGTTGCCTGTATGTGTGTTTAGGTGAATTTAGTGATGGACATCTTATAAAATAACAAAATTGCCTTTCAAATTGCTTTGAAAAAGCAAATTTAGGAAAACATTGTAATGCTGTTTGGTACTTCTGGAGCAGAGAGCACAACTCCAAGTGCAGTTTTGGATTTTATAATCTGGATAGCAACACAGCAATATAAAATCTGCCCTCAGTAGTGGACAGTTCTCCCAGATTTTTATTTATTTTTTTGGTTTTATATTTATCAAAGATCACTTGCTGTGGTACTTTCCAAAAGTAAACTTAAATGTTCAAGCATTAGCATGATTTTTTTTCAATGAAAAAGGGGTGATGAACATCTTTATTGTGTTTCAACAGCCTTTTTGAAAGAAATGGCTACTTCTTTTAAGAGTGAGATAAGAAGTAATTTAAACAAGGGGAAGGGAGAATACAGCAATATAAATTCTCCATGCATAGGAAAACCAGGTGTAAAACAGGCAGAATATAGAAGTTCCCAACAAGCCATAGGTTGTCCTCCCAATAGACTAGATCAATTTTTCTCTTTTTATGAAAAAACAGTAATTTTGCTGACATGTAAATACATTTTTAAGTAGTTGTGCAGTACTATGAAGTAATCTGGTTTTCTGTGTTGTATGCCTCTATATCCTGTTCATGTTAAAGGTGACTGTGGTCAACTGGTGTTAACTTACAAAGGAATAGAAATATAATGGAGATTATTTCTAAGGAAAGACGGGGGTTAATAAGAAGAGCAATATCTTTAGTTCATCAAACTATGGCTAGAATATAGTTAAAATATAGTGGAAAAAGATGAGCTAAAGAGAAAATACATTAGATTTTTTTATCACCAATAAATATTTCAAGATGAATGTTAAATATTACACAAATGGAAAGTGTCAAAATGCATTTATAATCCTCAGAACTTTGAGTGGAGAATTTCTGTTCTTCACATAATAGGAGGTGTATGGCACGTCTACATGCAGCAGTCAAATGTGCTTAGAAAAGGTTAAGCATTCACTTTCCAACTCACATTAAAATTCTATTTAAATAGAATAAAAATCTAAATAGTGCCAAAGTTTTATCTAATGGGGTACACTTGAGGACTCTGTAACACAGCATCTGGTAAAGTATGTGATGGAACTCCTTTCTATTCTCATTACTGCATTGAGTATAAAATGATTAATTAGCTTTGCTGGGTTTGCAGTATTATTCACAGGCTGATGTTTTTAAACTTATTTTTTAGGCTCAGAATTCTTCAAACCTATGCTTAAGGTATGTGAATTAGATTGAAAATTAATTTATCTTCATAACAAACACTTTATCCCTATTTCAAAAGAAAGATCAATTAGTATTTTATATTTTCATTCATGTCTTAAGGATTTGTTCACTTAAAATTACTGGACTAGATCTCAGGAGAGGGAAGAAAAATTCAGAATGGAGTGAACTTTATAAGTGCATATACTTTAGTGTAAATTACTTCTCTCAAGTTGGTTAACTTGCTCATCATCTGATGAAGTACACAGTGGAGACCACCTATGAGAAAGGACTGCTTTGGTCCACAACAGTTGTATAATTTAGCCTTAAGATTGGTTGGAGCAGATAAGCCAAAGCCTGGAGAATGACCTTTACATTCAGCAACCAGGTGAAGGGAAGAAATCATTAGGGAAAGTTCTTTCTCCATGGTGCTGATTTGTAGGCAGCTGAGATACTGCAGTTCTTTCTCAGAGCCTGAGGGTTGCTTTAGTCTATGGCCTTGTATTTACTACTTTAGTTTCAGCCATTTACCTGATTACCTACTAAAGGGCTAATTTATTAATTTAAAGGTACTGAAGTAGGATAGAAACCTATTTTGGCTTCTCTTTTCTGTCATTGTATTTATCTCTTTTTGAAGTATTAGCAGAAATGTGCTCTTCTATAAAAACTTTCACCCAAGCTTAAAAGTACTTAGTTAGCCTAATGAAGTATTTCTAATCAAAAGGGAGGAAATAAAAGGCCACAGCAAGCAGCAAAACAATCTGTTATTTGGCATTTCAGCTGATGGTTCAGTTTGGCCCTGAGTTTGTCCAAGAGTTGCCCTTCAGAGCAGGAAAATCAGGAATATGAAATTCAGGTTGACAAACAAAGAAGGCATGAGTGTTTAGAACTTACTAGTTGGGATGAAATCTGAGAAGAAAAAGGGCATAAGAGAAATGAAAAGTCTTTACGTCAGTGACACTTGAGTGGGCATAGTAAAGTAACACGTCATGGAAGGTATTTTGGGTTTTTTGGGGGGGGGGTTGTATTTTTTTGCTTTGTCTTTTTTCTTCTTAATTTTGAAAAGCAGGATTGATTCCTGTTAACCAAAGTGATGGTCTTCAAAGAAATTTTTAAGTGATCATGGCATTTCAAATAGTTTTTTTTAATTTTTTTTCTAATTAATGGGTACCAACACAAAATGGGAAGAAAAGGCCTGCTTTGGAAAAGGAGGCAGACGTTTCCTTCTCCAAATAATTTTTACTTTCTTTAGTGTGACTACTAGTAAACAACTGTTAGAGAATACATTTCTAAAGTGCTTTGAGAATTACTTGCACAGTGACCTAATACAGAGGCATAGAGTTTAGAAATGGCATGTTTAGAGTATGGTGTCCTTTGGAAATTTAACTGTGATTAATAATTAGAAAGATAGGACTGGTAAAGACCATATGGCATTCATTAATGTCCTTGAATATGTTCTTTCCATGCAGAACAAAATTCAGTTGTGACCATTGCTTGTTACGTTAACCATATTATCACCCTCTTCTCTCTCTGTCCATCTTATATAGAATGTTTTACACTCAAAGTTTCTAGATGAGTTGGAAGAGAAATCAGTGACAGTGCCTATTGAAAAAGGACCTTGTTTTTTGACTGTAGTATCTGACTGATCCCCTGTTATAAGCTCGGCCTGAAATTACTTTAGTTATAAGTAGGATAGAAGAGAGAAAAATGAGTGGAATGGACAGAAAGTAATTTTTTTCTTTGCTGGAATTTAATAAGTATGTATATTTTTCAGCATAGGTGAATTGCTAGTTGATTTTTCCCCCCTCAAAAAAAAGAAAAAGCCTACCTGATTCAATAATGTTATTGGATACAGGGTGATGCTATCTTCAAAATTCTGTTAATTTAAGGGAAATACTCTGGTTTTGAAAGATAACAACATATTGATGACAAATGTTTGAAATCCCTCTGCGGCATTCTTGTCCTTCTTGATTGGTTTTGCAATACTTGGATAGCAGGAAAATAAAGACCTGTGGCCTCCCTAACCTGAGGAAATGCCCAGATTGGGTTAAATGTTTTCAAAGCTGTGTTGTGCATTGGCTTTCCCAGTCTTCAGCACAGGGATTAAAGCATGGTATACATCAGCAGTATTGAAATTCGCTTAGGGCACCATATCCTGGGTCTGAACCAAAAAGAAGAGCCTTCATATACTAAATATCTACTACAAAATGAAAATAACAAACAGCATGACCCATCCTGCACCAAATCTCTTAAGTACGTATATCTTCTTGTTGACAAGAAGCTCAACATGATCTGGCAATCCAGAAAGCCAACTGTATCCTGGGCTGCATCATAAGAAATGTGAGCAGCAGGTCAAAGGACATGATTTTGCCCCTCTGCTCTCATGATACTCCACCTGGAGTACTGCATGCAGCACTGGGGCCCTCAACACAAGAAGGGCCCTGTTGGACCTGTTGGAATGAGTCTAGAGGAGGGCCACTAAGGTGATGAGAGGACTGGAACACCTCTCCTATGAAGATGGGCTGAGAGAGTTGGGGTTGTTCAGCCTGGAGATGAGAAGACTCTGGGGACACCTTAGAGCAGCCTTCCAGGCTGTAAAGAGGAGTTAGTAGATAAAGGAGGACTGGCACACATCTGTCTTCATGATTTTCCAGGTCATAATTAGACATCTGTGTCATTGATGATACTCAGTTATTTTGTAAGTAAATGACTGCTATAAGTTTAAAGGAAGATGCAGATCTCCCTGTTTTATTCAGTCTTCTCCTACTTTCTCATGCCTCCAATGCATCAGACATTTACAAAGAAGAAAATAATTCTTGTTTTAGGGAACAGATCCTCTGTCTGCTCTTTCAGGGCTTTTTTGGGTCCAATGGAAGTTTGCACCCTGTGATAATCTAGAGGCAAAATTCAAGTTTATATACAAATTGCAAAACTTTTATTAGCATTTAAATTGCATTTTGTGATTCTGTGGTTTCACTGGTTTGCAACACTGCTGTGCAGCAGATGTACTTGCCCCCCACACTGTTTTTAACAACTCCAAATAGTTTCCCCAAGAAAAGTATTTGGTAAGAGCTTTAGAAGAAGGAATTGCATATTTCAGAGAATTACAGAAGGTCTAATATCACTTTTTTTTGGAGGTAACTATTGTGAGTGTTAGTATTTTATACAAAGTCTGACTTTGTGTTGAGCCTTAGATTTATATAGAATCAGAAGCACATTTATGATAGAATCAGAAACACATTTTAATATTACTGTATTTCAGTGCTTCATGGAGCTGTGGATGTGCATAACTTACAGGAATTGACATGATCCGTTTCAACCCTGACTCTACAGCATGTAATGAAACTGCCATAGCAGTTTGCTTGAATGCTACACAGGCAGTGGTGACATCAAATAGTTTGGAACAGAAGAGTGGAGAGACTGGAAGCAAGGGTGAATGACAAGGAAGGGCTAATGGTTTTGGCATACTTTCTATTTTTGTACGAGTTTACATGTGGCAGAGTCTGTCTGGAACTCTTTATCACAAGCAAATATTACTTTATGTGATGAGAAGGAACAGAGTCTGACTTCAGTGAGTATTTAGCTTCTATGCGGGTCCAAGCTGCGTAAGGGCTGATGTGGGCACCAGGTCAGACTATATCAAAAGATGTCTACTCCCACCAACCTCCAAGGTAAGAGCTAGAGGCTTGATTCTGCCTTCAGAGGTGTGAAAACCTGTCAAGACCCCATAGGCAGTCATAGTAGTCGGCCGCAGTGGGGAGTACCTGCTCAGTTTGTAAAATGGCCAGTGAACAGGTACTCCCTGCTTGCCGCAGTGTAAATATCAAAAGATGGGGGCTCTAAATATTTTCTTAACAGCTTTCCCTGTACATTATCTAGTTCCTCTAATTAAAATTTCATTATTAGTATTTCTGTAGCAGTGTGTTAGGACAGCTCTTCATCAACCTGCCCAGGACAGATATGGATCTAACTGGAAGGTTTAAAAAAAAAAATTCAATTTCCTGTGTGCAAAAAATCAATAAAAAAGAAATATTTTTTTTTTTACTATATGTCAACTTTTCACATTTTTGTTCATATCTAGTTATTTCTGTGCAATTTTTATGTCAAGGTACAGAGTAAGATATAGGTAAGCCTTGTTTTTCTAAAGCTCTCTTATTAGTATGAAATAATCACTTTGGTACCTTCCCTTTTTTTTTGTTTTCACAGTGGGTTTGGTAAAATTATGTATGCTTGAACCTGGTTATTTAACTTGTCTAATTTGGGCTCAGATAGTGAGGCAAAAGCAGCGTAATTTTGAAATGTCGAGGAGGATGTGTACAGCTTGCGGAGTTGATAGGTGTGAAAATGCAGACTTAAAAGATATGACTTGCTTTGAAAATCTGTGTTATGACTTAGCAATAGCAATGAATCTGCTGTAAGAAAAGGGGCAGATTTATTTTTTTCCTTGGATGGCTAAGTAATTTGAATTGCACTCATAGACTCATTCTATATCTCAAGTTGGAAGGGACCCATAAGGATCTTAGAGTCCAACTCCTTGCTCTTCACAGGGCTGCCTAAAACTAAATCATATGTTTAAGAGCATCATCTAGATGCTCCTTGAACTCTGACAGGCTTGGTGCCTTGATCGCTTCCCTGTGGAGCCCATTCAGTCACCAGACATCCTCTCAAAGAAGTTTTTCCTAATGTCCCATCTGAACTTCCTCTGACAACAGTTTAATAGGCATCCACAACTGTTGCTTTCACCCTCTTTCTGTGATTCTTATCAGTAGGAATGTTCTTTCAAACCAGTGTGAGTTTGGAATACGTGCAGGACTTCACAGCCCCTATCTGCTCCATATAGGCTCATCCTGATCTGCAGTTAGAGGCTATTTAGGAATGTCCTTACAAGGTGAACTTTTATGTGTCATTCTTAAGAAATTTTCTGTAAAGGTGTTGTGCTCTTTATAGACTAGGGCATTACAGAATTACCAGTACTTTTCTGAGCTGTTTCTAAATTATACTTACTCAAATTCATATTTACATTTTTAAAGAGGTAATTGGATTTTTCAAAAGTGCTGAGCAGCTGCAAATCTTTTATGGCTCCAATGCTTACTCAGGGCAGTGAACATTTTATGGTAACTAGTGATTGCAATGTGTTGCCTGACTTAGTTTTGCATCGCTCTCTTAGTTTTTACATAATTCAGTTCAATTTCATAAGATGGTGTTGGTAGGAGACTAAATAATTCACTTAGGTTGTGTGCCAAGGAATAAAAATATTCCTGCTGATTTTTCATAACAGTGATGTACAAGGTTTAGATTAATGAAAAATATTTTTCACAGAATTAATATTTAGGCAATGTGATTTTGCTGAAGGTGTTTGTGTGTGTGTGTGTGTATAGTCTGAAAATTATACAAGAAAGTCTAAAAACAAAAGGCTAGATTCTGCTCTGGAGACAAGACAAAACACAGAATCCTACATGTTCCCTGGCTCCTAGTTGATTTTGGGGAGGCAGAATGATCCAGAAAAATATTTATAAACCTGATATGTTACTTGTGCGGGTATTATGTTTGCAGTTCTTATATACTAACCTTCCTTCACTTTCTTCAGTACAAAAATTAGCCTTACATTAGTCTTATTACAGTATTATTTTCACTTTTTTTTTCCAGACAAGATGAAACAAGGATAAGTTCAGTAAGTCATGAGAATATGGTCATATGGAATATTAGTATAATGGGAAAGGAAGTACATATGTCATAGTTAAACCCGAGAGGAAAAATTCTTGTTATTTAACTACAGAATATGATATCTGCTTCTGAAATACTTGACTGCTTACATATAAAGCAATGATTTCTTTTTCAATTTTTCACATTTGGTGACATGAAACAAGGGATAAACACTGAAATAGAAAAAACTACCACAATAGATTTTTTTTTTAAAGCTGGAAGTATCATTCAGGTCTTGACACAGAGAGAGAAAGATGAAATTCCAAAACTATTAACTCATTAGAAAAATGAAATGGTGGGACCCTGACATTTGTCTGTGATGTTCCCAGCCTTTATTTAGGCAGAGATATTTTGTTAGCGTATTTGAAGTATCATGAGTTCTGTTTAGGTTAAAACAGATGCCTGGTATGGCTTGGTATTTCTTATTTATATATCCTGAGGTCTGATTTGCTTTAACCTCTCTGCAACTAAGCAGGCTGTCGTAACTGTGTGAACTCTTGCCACTTGTTTTGTATTACATGAAGTGTAATGATTGAACCTGAAATGCTGTTTCTACCTTTTAACTTTGTTCAGTGTTCTCAAGACCAGTATACAGATAAAACGTACAAATAAGCAACTTGTAGTTATAGTCTTAAGTGGTGTTCTGCACTCTATGCTAGGCACCATTCTGTATGCCAATAACCGCCATCTGTGTGAAGTCAGTGAGCATTTGGTTGGGTAGGAGCGCAGAATGGAGGTTTTGCAGTCCAGAAGAAATTGCCAAACTTCTTTGTATTTATGCTCTAGTCTTTTCAGAAAAAATAACACTGGATGAATACGTAATGAAATTACTGTGATCTACAGGACTACTTTACAATCAGTGCATGCCCTAAAGTATTGTTTGTAACATCTGTTTTATACTAAATGTTGGTGTTCAAGTGAGCCTTGTTAGCTGTTTGACAGTGACAGACAACAATATTTATAAAACTGTTATAATAAATGCCTTTTTAGTCTAAGAAAATGTGTGGTATGGCATTTATAAAAGGAGGGGGGAGAAGTCTCTGAGGTTAAAGAAGTCTCTGCTGCTGCCCTGTGTTAACAATTCCTTCCTGTGCCATGGGCTTGAATTTATTAGCCCGAGTAATTCCATTTAAGTCAGTGACGCTTGTCACAGTAGCAAATAACAGATGTGAGAAGACTACTTTTTTTCCCAAGAGAATCACAGTGAAGCTGTAAATAAATGTAATCATCTCTACTTTAACAAAGTATTAACTTACTATAACTATATAGAATGTAGAGTTTCCTGTGGTGACCTCTTTGGTGTGTTTTTGTAACCTTTTTGATACAAATATGATCAAGTTGCAATATTACAAATTTGGGTGTTCTTTATCTGCTGTCATCACTATCCTATTCCTTGGGCAGACAGAGCAGGTCCTGAAGCAGTCAGAACAGGCTTTTGCAGACAAGAAGAAAATTAAATTATATTCGAGATTGGCAACAGAGAGGAGGAAGTCCCATCATACTCAGCAAGCAAAAGCAGCTGTAGAAGTCTCTCAAACAGGGATGCTTCGATTTAAGGAGATCTCTCAGGTTTGAACAGGTATTTTAGCTCCTTTCTGATGAGCTGAGAAGACACATTGGCTCAGGGCAACAAAGACACATTGGCTTTTACACTGTGTGGTCTGTTTGTTGTGTCTGTAGTATTGCTACCCCGTAGTTGCAGGGTGCAAGAAAGGATGGATCTCGTGAGTGTCACCTACTTGTGCACTGTCCAAGCAATCGTGATCAATAGAGGCCTTAAATATACCCAGTAGAGGGTCTTAAATTATGTTCTGTTTATCATGTGGCATGTAACCATTGATGGATCAGTAAGGCATTTTGTCACAAACCCGATGAATCCAAAACATTCTTCTGTTATTCAGATCTCTGTATATCCAGCTCTTGTTCCCTGCACACAGCTACCACATGGGCTAACCTGAAAGATAGTGCTCTGGGTCCACAGGTCTTACTCATGCTATTTGCATGCTTTTTGCACCGACTGAACATTTTTGTGTATGTGCGGTTGACTGCTCTGCCTTACAACCATGCATTTCATTCCCCTCTGATACTGACCAAGATTCACAGACATAAAGATACAAAGTTATCTTAATCATTAACTTTAACATTAAGATTTTTTTTCCTTTTGTTCTGCTACTATCGAAACTGTAGTAGTTTATACTGAGTATTTTTCATTGATCTGAAGATGGTATCACTTTGTCATTAAACTGAGGTGAATTAATGAAGTGAGATTAACCTCAACTGAGGTTAACATTTCACAGATGTTAAGTAACACAGGTTAAAACAAAATCTCTCAAGCAAGATAAAGTTGTTTTCTAAACACGCAGGCCAGTGCTGACACCTTGTGGCTTCATTTTTGAGTTATTTCATAGCTTCATGTGATCATTTTGGATATAAATAATGATTAACTTGCTGTTGGCACCATTGTCTATCTCCTCTGCTTCGTGGCCACCTCAGCACCCAGTATTTTGGTATCGTGTGTAAGACAGCTTGTGGTCTCTGTTGACTGAACATCAAGTGAATAAAGAGCTAGGGGTGTCTGTAGTCTCTTGAAGGGAACTCAAAAGGCTTCACTGCACAAAATCATGGGTGCTAGTGCAGAAGCAGACAGAAGTTATGAGTTTATCTCTTACTAATACCTCATTTTATACTTCCCTCTACATAGGAGAGTGCCAAAGACTGTTAATACTTACCGCATGTGTACTTTAAGATGCATACATCTTTTCTGCACTGGTGCAAAAGCATTCCTTTGCTGCCCTCTTCACCTCTGAGGAATCGCTAGTAGCAAAAATACAACCAAAAAGACTGTTGGAGAATTTCTGGTAGTATAGGAGCCTGAGGTGTGCTATTTATCTATGACCATAAAAATGCCTAAACCACAATGTATCACAATGCCAATTTATACCTAAATGGGCATCTAATCTAAAATCTCTTACTGTTTCAAATCTTAGACAAAACCCAGCTGTTAAGGCTGCAGTTGCTTTTTGAAATCTGTTGTGAAATTAAGTTTTAGAGGCTGGGGTGTGTCTTGTGAAGATTGAAGATCATGCATCCTCCCTCAGCTGTCACTTCAGAGATTTTTTTCTGATGTTTATGGTCATGTCCCTGTTCTTAAGTATTCATGTGGTGGTAATACATGAGTTAGAAATCCTTATTTTATTGCATTGTTGTTTGGGGTTTTGTTGTTTGTTTTTGTTTTGTTTTGGTTTTCCTTTCTGATAGGTTTAGTTGTTTATAAAGGA